GTTATATATGAGAGTTTCTTAGGAGTATAAAACCAAGGATGAGACAAGTGAATTATAACACATATCTACATTTCATTTCAATAAATAGTGCCAATTGTTATCTAAAATGGCTACATCAATTTATATCCCCACAAGCAACATTGTTTAGCTTCACTCCATCAACTCTCCAGAATACCCAACTTTCACAATTTTAACAAATGGTATCTCTCAGTTGCTTCAATTCCATTTCTCTAGTTACTAGTGAAGTAGGTCCTTCACACACTCATTAGATGTTTGGCTTTACCTTTCTGCAAATTGTCCATTCTGATCCTCAGCCCATTATTCCTTTATGCGTTACGGTATACTTACATATATAATAGATGTTTATCACTTGACAGATGTAGACATAAAAAACACTATTCCTGGTCATTTATCTGTCTGCTACCTTTACCTGTGATGGCCTTCATTGAATAAAATATTTAATTGTGATTTAGTCACATCCATTAATTTTCCCTTGGTGCTTTACTCTCTGAGTTTTGTTTAAAAGATTGGGTAATAAAATATTTTCCTATGTTCCTTTCTATCAATTGTATAATCTTAAATTTCACTTTAAGGCCCAATCCACTTACAGTTGTTATATATGGTATAGTTATCTATAATGAGTTAATTTTTCCCAGCAGTATTTATAAAGCGCTCCATTTCTTCATTAATTTTACTGTTTATTTTTAAACTATATACCAAAGTCCTATGCACATGGATTTGCTTCTGGACTCAAAACTGTTCCAGGATTCAGTTCTGAATGTAGCATTCTTTCTGCACTTTCTTTTGCGAAAGAAAGCCACTTTCACGGCTTTGTACTAGGCTGTGCTAGACAGCGCAGCTGATTCCACCCCACATAACAGCCCTACAGCCTTGTTCTTCTTTTTCAAAAATTTGAAATATTTTCATAATTTCTATTACTTCATGTGAATCTTAAGTAAATTTTCAAGGTTTCCTAAAAATTCTTTTTCCATCTGCATTGAATTTACAGGTTAACTCAGACATAGGAGCACCTTTACAACATTGCTGTGTCTTCCTGAGCATGATACTGTAGTTCCATTTATATGATGCTGTGTCCTCTAAAGCAGTTTTAAATTTCTCTATAAAAGTTTTGTTCATTACTTGTATAATTAATTCCTAGGTCATTTGTGACCTTTTTCTGTTTTAAATAGTATTTTATTTACTATTACTTTTTCTCATCTTTTATTTCTAGGATAATGGACAAATGTTGACTATGGTCTGTAGATCTGTAATCAAACTATCTAGCTAGACACTCTTTTTTTTGAGACAGAGTCTCCCTCTGTCACCAGGCTGGAGTGCAGTGGCATGATCTTGGCTCACTGAAACCTCCACCTCCCAGGTTCAAGTGATTCTCTTGCCTCAGCCTCCCAAGAAGCTGGGACTACAGGTGCATGCCACCATGCCCAGCTAATTTTTGTATTTTTAGTAGAGACGGGGTTTCACCATGTTGGCCAGGTTGGTCTCGATTTTCTGACCTTGTGATCTGCCTGCCTCAGCCTCCCAAAGTGCTGGGATTACAGGCATGAGCCACCGCACTCGGCCGATTCTCTCTCTTATTAGTTCCCATAGTTTATCAATGATTCTTGGAATTACGGGTAAATGTTACAAAAATAATATCCCTTATACAGCTTCTTTTTATTTCTGTTCTTATTTTTATAACTAGTGCCTCTAATACAAAATGAAAAACAGCAGAGAATCTTCATCTTGTTTCAGACTTTTAAGAAAATGTTTCTGAAGTTTCTTAAAAGTAATATTTTCTATAGGTTTGTGTTAAGAAGAACTTATTAGCATATACTTTTTTCTGCTTTTTAAAAGTAATCATGGTTCTTTCATGAGGCCATTAATGATGAATTGCATTGTAAGACTGTCTTTTGTTCAAACGTCCTATCCTCAAGTTTCTAGGATAAATTCCATTTGTTCATGGTAGATTCAAATATTGCTTTATTGGGCCTGTAATTTCCTTTTCTTATATTCATCTTACCCAGTCTTAGTTATACAGTCTTCAAAATATTGAGCTCAAGAGATATTTTGTCTTTTAAAATATTTTTTATATTTCTTCTATATTCATTTGTAATGTTTAAATATGAAATATTAAAAATGAATTATAAAATTTGAACATCCAAGAGAAATAGATACAATCAACAATGATTATCTTTGTTAACCACACATAGCACCCCTCTGTTGTTTTATCTATAGAGTAGGGACACTTTTATATATTTTATTACTTAGCAATCCCGTGTTGTGTTGTTTTCCACTATATGCATATATATCTTTTCTCCTAAGTAGTTTGTAAGAGATTCTTTAGGGCAAGAATTATGTCCAACAATCCCTCGTGTCTATAACTATTTGGTAAGTGACCTTCTCAAAGTGACATGGCTATGAAGCGGTCTAGCAAAGATTTGAACGCAACTATTTTGACACTAAATTCTGTGCTCTTGCCACTGTTTCATGTTCTTCTCTGCTGATGTGACTGGCCAAACTCACTTCATCACTGGCAAATAGGGTTATAGGATTTGTTGAATAAATTACAGTAAACACACACACAAAATAAAAATTTAATAAAATGTAAGTTTCAATCTTCCAATATTGATTTCTTATGCCCTTGCCTCCAGGATAGCTGTTGCGGTGTCTGTTATCAACTTGTTCCTTATTCCTTTGTAGACATTCTGCTTTTCCTTTTTGAATAATTTTATAGTTCTGTCTTTGAAGCCATTAGATTTCACTCAGTATATCTAGATATGGATATATGTTCAATCTGATATCAGTGTCTCTATTAAATCTTGTTCATTATTTCTTAAATAGTTCCTCTTCACCATCATCTCTTTGCTGCTATTTCTAATCATTTTTCACTTATCTCAGGGTGTTTATTATGCCTGTGAGGGAAAATCAAGAAATGGTGTTGTCGGGATTGCTATACTGGAATGATTCTGCCTCCATGAAGTCCTTCAGTCCTAAAACCATGGGGCCTAGGCTTTGCCCTTCCTGGCAATGCCTGGTTCCCTAGAAATAAAAATGGGTACCTGGGAAACAATTAAGGAAGAGTGAAAACCCAGAGAAATAAGGATAACAAAACACACCGAGGCACCCTTCCTGCTGCTGTAGCAGTTGAGTAGCAATTGTAAATAAGCAATTTCTCCTGTGTGCAGAGACATGGCTCAAACCAAGGCAGAATTCCCTGTGTCAAATGAATAATGGTTGTCATTGACCAAAGTACAGGTGGTACTTGGTGTATATTTTAAGAGAAAATGATATGCTCTGGGTATGGAAAGTATTATGTAAAAGAATAAAATTTTAATCCATATAGGCCTAGGTAGTTTTATTTTCTAAGTAATTTTTAAAACAAAAATAAACAATTTAAAATTTATTTTGTTCCAAATTTTAAAATAATCTTTCATACCCGCTCATTGCTAGTCGTATCAACTGTATTCCCTTGCTAGTATTTTTGTTGTTGTTGTTGGAAACTCAACTTTTATTCTGAGTTAAGCCTCTAGATAGTTTTAAGTCTGCCAAAGTAGTATTCCCCCTACCTTTTCTCTCCCCAACTATCAAGACTATTCTAGGAAGTAGGTCACTCTACCAAAAATGATTGAGCTGTGTTGGGCCTGAGAAAAAGTCGGGCAAAAGGAGCCATTCTTTTATTTTTTATTTTTATTTTTTGAGATGGAGCCTCTCTCTGTCACCCAGGCTGGAGTGCAATCTCGGCTCACTGCAAGCTCTGCCTCCCCGGTTCATGCCATTCTCCTGCCTCAGCCTCCCAAATAGCTGGGACTACAGGTGCCCACCACCACGCCTGGCTAATTTCTTGTATTTTTAGTAGAGATGGGGTTTCACCGTGCTAGCCAGGATGGTCTCGATCTCCTGACCTCGTGATCTGCCCTCCTCGGCCTCCCAAAGTGGGTGCTGATAGTTAGGTTCATCCACCACCGCACTTGGAGCTCGACTGGAGTCGCCATGGGGCGTCGTCTGTCTTTGTGGCCCCACAGTACTCACATGTTCCACTTCAGCTGTGCCACTTCATTCCGCTGCCGCTGGGACTGGGGCTCCTCTAAGGATTTCTTCCACACGTCTTGGTATTCCAGCCTGTGAATGCCTTGTGCTGATCGGATGAAAGGTTCGTGGCGATGGATTGCCTCTCTTAGTGGACTGCACTGTGTATGACAGAGATGATGTACTAAACTCCACAGCTCGATTTGGCCAACTTCGAATTGAAAGGATGGTACTGGAACCTGGCCTCAGAAGTAGCTTGTCATCAAGATCTAGGAGCTTGTCCATTAGGGAGCTATTTCTTGCCTGTAGAGGCATCCCATGAACCAAGAGACCATTCACATTTGGCTGATGACTGCTTGCTTCACAGAGACTCATTGGATTTGAAGTAACGGACAGTACCTTAGACTGTGGCACTCACGGTAACACCAAAGGATGTGGTTCACTCAGCACACAAGAACTTTTTGAATCGGGTCTGGGAACTGCAACATTACTCTCATCATCAGAGGCAAATCCTTCCCAGTGACTACGTGTCAACTGTTCCATACAGCTCACAACCTTGCTCCATACATTGTCAAACACATAAACAAGGACATCTTCTTTCACACAGTAAAATGGAGCAATGGGAGGATACCCTCATTTCTGTTTCTCTGTAGCTGCTCCTGATTTCTTCCCATGAAATCCCTCTTACATATCTGTGTGATCAAATGCTAGGTATTCCTCAATTACTCCTTCCGAGATGATTATAGAGTCTTCCTCGTCTCTTTCCATAGAACAAAAGCTGGAGGATTTGGCAATAGAAGATGCTTTATGAGCATACGAAGATGAAAAACGTAACTTCTTTCCCCTTATACCAAATATAGTAGAATCTCTTTCTTGAGACAAGGTTGTTTCATATGAAGCTGAAACAGCAGAAGGGGATCTAGGATACAATCTATAACCTTCACTTGGAGTGATTGTCTGCCTACCTAGAATCCTGAGGTGAGGAAAGCTAGCTATTCACTGTTGGCACTCTTCTTGTAGACTCTTGTTATGCACACTCAACTTCTGCTCATACAAGAGTTCATCGACGGCTGTGAACATTGCCTAGGCTTTTTCAGTGGCATTTTGATCGGGTTCACCATATCCCCAGGAGAAGTCCGAGCTGCCTTCAGTAGATATCCCTGCGCCTGTATAACTTGGAAAAGCAGAGAGTGAATTCCCAGCGTCGGCTGATGTAAAAGGTGATTCTCTTGTGATGTCAGACTCGCTTTGGGAACTTGTGTCTTTCTCATGACTGTCACTGGCAGGGAAATTTCCTCTAGCTTCTTGGGAGAGGGATGATGGTTAAGAGCATGTTTTGTTATTCCTTTCAGCTCCAAGCTCTGTGACACCACCTTCCAAGTGTATCTGGAGATCCCCTTCCTCCTCCTACTCCTCCTCCCCCTCCTCAGCCGCGGGTGGCCTGGGCCGGGGTGGGCACCGCAGGGTGAGGACCTCCGGTCCTGGCCCTCCCGCTGGCTCCGGCCTGGCCGCCTCCCACCACCTACTGGCCTCGTCTCGCCCCGTCGCCTAGTCTCCGAACCACCACCTCTCCAGGGTCCCCACCTCTCCAGTCCTACGACCTCCCTGCTTTCTTCCCTTGCTAGTATTTCTAATAGCATGCCCTGATTAACTCATTTTATCTTTTGGTATAAATCAATTACAATTAAAATAGAGTTTGATAAATCTCAGTGGAGCATTTTTTCATGTTAAAAACATTTTTTTTCTCAAGAGATCAAGTGTGATTAACTTCAGTGAGAGGCTAAAAGTTCAAATTATTCTCAGTAGAGAGAAATAGTCAGTTACTTTCCTTACAGATTTTTTTTCCATTTCTAAATGCAGAATGTCAAATCTGCAGTAGTTGTATTCCAAAGCAAATTTAATTTTTTTCTCAGGTAACAAGCATGAACGTGAGGACTGATCCAAAGGGGCCACACAGAGGCTGCCAGTGGATTATGATCCCCGAAGCAGAAGCTCCTGAAAGAGATATGAATGTTGAATTTTTGCAGCTGCCCCTTCGCCTTTTTGGTCCTATTTTCACTTGCCACAGTGCTTTTGAGAGTGATCAGTGTTGCATGGATCGGCCATTGCTTCCTCTTTACTACCTAACAGTATCCTATTGCTGGTATGTATGTACCATTAATTTTTCATTCACTGGTTGATAGATATCTGGTCTGTTTTCAGATTTGGTAAGTATAAAATCTGCCACACCATTCAAATATATTTAGCCATATGGACATTTGCCCTCATTCTCCCAGGAGTGGAATTGCTAATCATGTGTTTAACTTTTTTTTTTTTTTTTTTTTTTTTGAGACACAGTCTCCTCCTGTCCCCAGGCTGGAGTACACTGGCACGATCTCAGCTCACTGTAACCTCAGCCTCCTGGGTTCAAGAGATTCTCCTGCCTCAGCCTCCGTAATAGCTGGGATTACAGGCACACACCACCATGCCCGCTATTTTTTGTATTTTTAGTAGAGACGGGTTTCACCATGTTGGTCAGGCTGGTCTTGAACTCCTGACCTCGTGATCCGCCCACCTCGGCCTTCCGAAGTGTTGATATCACAGACATGAGCCACCATGCCCGGTGTGTTTAACTTTTTAGGAACTGCCCTTTTCATCAGCAAAGGTGGTGGAAAAGACAGTATCTAAGAAAATTACATTACAATGATAATATAAATATAAAAATTTATGAGTGTCATTGTTTAGCTCCTTGCCAGCACTTAGTATTTATTACCAGAGTTTTTGTTGTTGTTTTAGTTTAATATTTCCAATAGATGTGTAATGGTAGTTTAGCATGGATTTAATCTGTTTTTTGATTACTAATAATAATCTTGAACAACTTATCATGTGCATCTGTGCTATCCCTGCCTCTTCTTTGGTATAGAGAAAACATCAGTAAAGTTTCTGTTCAAATCTTTTGTCCAATTATCATTAGGGATTTTGTTTTCCATTTATTGAGTTTTAAGATCTTTTTAAATATACACAGAATATGTCTTTTAGCAGATATGTATTTGCAAATATATTTTTCCCAGTCTATGATTTGGCTTTCCATTCTCATAGCAGTGTACTTTGAAGAGCAAAAGCTGTGAATGTAATCTATAATTTGTCAATTTTTTTTTCATTATTCATGCATTTGGTGTTGTGCTTAAGAATCTTTGCCTAGTGAATTACAAAGATTTTCTTCCATATTTTCTAGGATAGATTTTATAGTCTGAGGTTTTACATTTAGGGATAAATTTATTTTGAGCTGATTTTTGTGTATGGTGTGGGGTATCAGTCAGCATTCATATATTTACACATGATATCCAATTTCTAGCACCTTTCTTAAAATGACTATCCTTTCTTCATTATATTATATTGGCCCTCTTGTTGAAAAGAGTAGGTGTAGGTTATTTTGGACTCTTTGTTTTCGTTGATTTTATTAATCCTTTCATCAATACTTACCTTGTCTTAATTATCGTAGCTTTATAGTAAGTCTTGAAATCAGGCAGTGTGTCAGTTCCCTGAATTTATTTTTCTTTTTCAAAAATATTTTGAAACTATTGGCCCTTTGTTCTTTTCATTGAAATTTTTAAAGACAATTTGTCAATTTATTTAAGAAGAAGCTTGCTGAAATATTGATTTGGAGGCCTTTGAATCTCTATATAAATCAGTTTGGGGAGAATTGACATCTTAACAAAATTGAGACTTCTGATGGATGAAGATGGTATAGCTTTCCATTTTGGTCTCTTTTGATTTTTCTCTTCAGTGGTTTACGCTTTTCAGCCTACAAATTCTGGGTATATTTTATTAGATTTGTTCCTAAGAATTTAGTGATTTGTAAAATTCTGTTATAATAGTCCTAGTCTTTAAGTTTTGATTTCTACTTGTTTCCTGTTAGTTTGTAGAAATGCAGTCGGTTTTTGTATATTGACCTTTTATCTTGAGAACTGTCTAAAATTATTGTGAGTTTCAGTAGCTTATTTATATGTACCTTAGGGATTTCATGTCAGTCTGTGAGTAAAAACAGTTTTATTTCTTCTCTTTTCAATCTGTTTGTTTTTACTGTTTTCTTCCTTTTTGTCTTAGTGCACTGTTTAGGACCTCTAGTAGTAATGTTGAATTGGAGTGATGAGAGGATACATCCAGCTGTCTTATCTATCTTAGCGGGAAAGCATTCATTCACCATTAAGTATGATGCTAGCTGTATGAGTTTTTATGGATGCCCTTTATCATGTTGAGGAAGTTTCTGTTGAATATTAGGGTACTGGAAGTTTTTATTATGAAAGGATGCTGCATTTTTCAAGGCTTTTTTGCATCCATTAAAATAATAATGTAGTGTTCTTTTAGTCTATTGATATGGTTCATTTGCATTGATTGATTTTTGAATGCTGAATAAACCATACATTGCTGGCATAAACCCCACTTGGTCACGATGCATTACACTTTTATGTTACTAGATTTATTATGCTAATAATAGTATATTTGTCTCAATTTTTCAAGTTTCTTAAGGTAAAAGCTCAGATTGTTGATCTAAAGTCTTTTTTCCAACAAAAGCCTTCAGTTCTAGAAATTCACCTGTAAATATTGTTTGACTGCATACCACAATTGTTTAATGAGTATTTTTGTAGCAATTTTGAATCTACAGAAAAATTGTAAAATTTTCCACATACTCTCTCACCCCTTCTCCTCATTTTTCCCTATTTTTGAATTATTGTGTTAGTGAGAAACATTTGTTACAATTTATGAGGCAATAATAATATGTTATTATTAACTAAAGTCCATAGTTTACATTATGGCTCACTCTTTGTGCTCTGCCTTCTGTGGGTTTTGACAAATGTATAATGACATGTATCCATCATTACAGTATCACATAAAGTAGATTCACTGTCCTAGAAATTTTCTGTGCTCCACCTATTTAGCCTTCTTTTCCACCCTCCCCTTGAACTTTTGGCAACCATTGATCATTTTACTGTATCATAGTTTTGCCTTTCCAGAATGTCATGTAGTGGGAATCATATAGCATGTGACCTTTTCAGATTAGCTCATTTACCTTAGCAATATGCAATACATTTAAGATTTTAAAATTCCTTTATGATAACTTATTGTTTGTTATTATTATTATTATTATTATTATTTTTTTTTTTTAAAGACAGAGTATATGTTGTTATGTGGTTCAGCCTGGACTCAGACTACTGAGCTCAAGTGATCCTCCCACCTAAGCTTCCTGAGTAGCTGGGATTGTAAGCATTTACCATTATGCCTGGCTTTCATTGCTTTTTAATCACTGAATAATATTCTACTGTGTGGATCATCACAGTTTGTTTATCTAGTCACCTATCAAGAATAACTTGGTGGCTTCCAAGTTCTGACAATAATGAATAAAGCAAATGAAGAAATAAAGCATAATGAATAGACATTTGTGTGCAGGTTTTTGTGTGAACATATGTCTTTTTTGTTTGTTTTTTTCAGATGGAATCTCACTCTGTTGCCCAGGCTGGAGTGCAGTGGTGCAATCTCGGCTCACTGCAACCTTGCCTCTCGGGTTCAAGCCATTCTCCTGCCTCAGCCTCTGGAGTAGCTGGGATTATGGGCACACGCTACCACACCTGGCTAAGTTTTGTATTTTTAGTGGAGATGGGGTTTCACCATATTGGTCAGGCTGGTCTCAAACTCCTGACCTCGTGATCTGTCTGCCTCGGCCCCACAAAAGTGCTAGGATTACAGGTGCGAGCCACCATGCCAGGCCAAACATATGTTTTTAACTTACCAAGGAGCATGATTACTGGATCATGTAACAGGATTGTGTTTAGTTTTGTAACATATTGCCTGGTATGGTTTGGATCAGTGTCCCTACCAGTCGTCATGTTGAAATATAATCCCCAATGTTGGAGGTGGGGCCTGATGGGAGGTGGCTAACTGGGACATATTTTCTCCTTGGTACTGTTGTCATGATAGTGAGTAAATTCTGCGATCTGGTTGTTTATAAGTTTTGGCACCTCCCCGGTCTCTCTCTTCCTCCTTCTCCAACAGTGTGAAGTGCTGATTCCCTCTTCACCTTCTGACATGATTGTAGGTGTCCTGAGGCCTCCCAGAAGCCAAGCAGATGACAGCATCTTGCTTCCTATACAACCCGAAGAACTGTGAGCCAATTAAACCTCTTTTCTTTGTAAATTACCCAGTCTCAGGTATTTAAACAATGAGAGAATGAACTAATACACTTCCAAACTATTTTCCAAAACGACTGTACCATTTTGCATTCCCACTCACAATGAACGAGAGTTCTTGTTGCCCCACATTCTCACCAGCATTTGGTGTTGTCATTATTTGGAGTTTTACCGTTCTCATGGGTGCGTAGCAGCATCTCTCTCACCTTAAAATTTGTAATTCCTTAATGACATATGAAGTTGAGTATCTTATGTTTATTTGTCCTCTATATATCTTCTTTGGTAAGATGTCTGCTCAGATTTTTTTGTCCTTTTAAAATTAGATTGTTTCCTTCATTTTCATCCAAAATGTTACCTATTTTCCCTTGTTACTCCCTTTTCCAGGTATTGGTTATTTCTAAGCATATCATTTAATTATTTGGATTTTTTTTCACACAATTGTCTTTTTTTCTTTTTTGAGAAAGTATCTCTTGTTCTGTTGCCCAGGCTGGAGTACAGTGCTATGATCATAGCTCACTCTAACCTTGAACTCCTAGGCTCAGGTTATCCTCTTGCCTCAGCCTCCCGTGTAGCTGGGACTACAAGTATGTGCCATCATACCTAGTAAATTTTAAAATATATATATTTTATAGGATGGGATCTCACTATTTTGCCTAGGCTGGTCTCAAACTCCCAGCCTCAAGTTATCCTCCTACCTTGGGCTCCCAAAGCACTGGGATTACATGACATCTTCCTATTACTGATTTCTCATTTATAGTCAGGAAAAACACTTAAACAAATTTAAAATAATTAGAATTATGCAAAGTTTATTTTATGGTCCAGAATATATTTCTCCTGTCATTTCTATAAATTTTCTTGTTATGTATTTTGAAGGTCTTTTTAAAGGTATGTTATGTTTTCTTGATAAGTTAATGCCCTTCTGATTATATAAATTTCTCTTTTATTTCTGGAAGTATTTTATTTTATTTTACTTTAAGTTCCGGGATACATATGCAGATGTGCAGCTTTGTTACATAAGTATACATGTGCCATGGTGGTTTGCTGCACCTATCAATCCATCATCTAGGTTTTGAGCCCCATGTGCATTAGGTATTTATCCTAATGCTCTCCCCCACCTTGCCCGTACCCCACAACAGGCCCTGGTGTGTGATGTTCCATTGCTTGTGTCCACGTGTTCTCATTATTTAACTCTCACTTATGAGTGAGTACATGTGGTATTGGTTTTCTGGTCCTGTGTTGGTATGCTGAGGATGATGACTTCCAGCTTCATCTATGGTCCTGCAAAGAACATGATCTCATTTTTTTTTATGGCTCCATGGTATTCCATGGTGTATATGTAACACATTTTCTTTATCCAGTCTATCATTTATGGGCATTCGGTTTAGTTCCATGTCTTTGCTAAGTGTGCATGTGTCATTATAGTGGAATGAGTTCTATTCCTTTGGGTATATACCCAGTAATGGGATTGCTGAGTCGAATGATATTTCTGGTTCTAGATCCTTGAGGAATTACCACACTGTCTTCTACAATGGTTGAACTAATTTACCCCCGCCAACAGTGTAAAAGCAATTTTTCCACAGCCTCACCACCATCTGTTGTTTCTTGACCTTTTAATAATCGTGATTCTGACTGGCCTGAGATGATATCTCATTGTGGTTTTGATTTGCATTCCTCTAATGATCAGTGATGATGAGCTTTTTTCTTCATGTTGTTTGTCTACATACATGTCTTCTTTTGAGAAGTATCTTTCCATATCCTTTGCCCACTTTGTGATGGGGTTGTTTGTTCTTTTCTTGTAAATTTATTTAAGTTCTTTGTAAATTCTGGATATTAGACTTTGTCAGATGGGTAGATTGCAAAAATTTTCTCCCATTCTGAAGGTGGCCTGTTCACTCCGATGCTAGTTTCTTTTGCTGTGCAGAAGCTCTTTAGTTTAATTAGATGCTGTTTGTCAATTTTGGCTTTGTTGCAATTGGATTTGGTGTTTTTGTCATGAAGTCTTTCCCATGCCTATGTCCTGAATGGTATTGCCTAGGTTTTTTTCTAGGGTTTTTATGGTGTTAGGTCTTACATTTAAGTCTTTAATCCATCTTGAGTTAATTTTCGTTTTGTATAAGGTGTAAGGAAGGGTCCAGTTTTAGTTTTCTGCATATGGCTAGCCAGTTTTCCCAGCCAGCACCATTTATTAAATAAGGAATCCTCTCCCCATTGCTTGTTTTTGTCAGGTTTGTCAAAGATCAGATGATTATAGATGTGTGGTGTTACTTCTGAGGTCTCCGTTCTGTTCTTTTGGTCTACATGTCTGTTTTGATACCAGTACCATGCTGTTTTGGTTACTGTAGCCTTGCAGAATAGTTTGAAATCAGGTAGCATGATGCCTCCAGCTTTGTTCTTTTTGCTTAGGATTGCCTTGGCTATACAGTGTGGCCATTTTCATGATATTGATTCTTCCTATCCATGAAGATGGGATGTTTTTCCATTTGTTTATGTCTTCTCTTATTTTCCTGAGCAGTAGTTTGTAGTTCTCCTTGAAGAGGTTCTTCACTTCCCCTGTTAGCTGTATTCGTAGGTATTTTATTCTCTTTGTAGCAATAGTGAATGGGAGTTCATTAATGATTTGGCTCTCTGCTTGTGTACTGTTGATGTATAGGACCACTTGTGATTTTTGCACATTGATTTTGTATCCTGAGACTTTCCTGAAGTTGCTTATCAAGTTTAAAGAGTTTTGGGGCTGAGACGATGGGGTTTTTCTAAATATAGAATCATGTCATCTGCAAACAGAGACAATTTGAATTCCTCTCTCCCTATTTGAGTACTCTTTATTTCTTTCTCTTGCCTGATTTCCCTGGCCAGAACTTCCAATACTATGGTGAATAGGAGTGGTGTATACTTTACCTGATATTAGCATACCTACTCTAGCTTTCTCTTCATGAGTATTTGCTTTGTTTTCCCAGCCTTTTATTTTTAAACTATGTCCATTTATTTATTTATTTATTTATTTTTGAATCAAATCATTTTATTTTAATCAAACAAAAATTTTCCAGGAGATTATTTAATTTCAATTAACATCAGTTATATAATTCATACAATACACTATAAGACTTTTCTAAGGATTATCATATATATTTTTATTTAATTTTCACAACAACTGAGGTATGCAGGACTTTCAGAAATTTATTTATATTTTTATTTTTTAAATTTTTTCATAAGTTATTGGGGTACAGGTGGTATTTGGTTACATGAGTAAGTTCTTTAGTGATGATTTGTGGGATTTTGGTGCGCCCATCACCTAAGCAGTATACACTGCACCATATTTGTAGTCTTCTATCCCTCACTCCCATGTCACTCTTCCCCACAAGTCCCCAAAGTCCACTGCATCATTTTTATGTCTTTGCATTCTCATAGCTTAGCTCCCACATATCAGTGAGCACATAAGATGTTTGGTTTTCCATTCCTGAGTTACTTCACTTACAATAATAGTCTCCAATCTCATTCCACTCCCTGCAAATGCTGTTAATTCATTCCTTTTCATGGCTGCATAGTATTCGATTATATATATATGTATATACCACAGTTTCTTTATCCACTCGTTGATTGATAGGCATTTGGGTTGGTTCCACGATTTTGCAATTGTGAAATGTACTGTTATAAACATGCATGTGCAAATATCTTTTTTGAATAATGACTTTCCCTCTGGGTAGAAATCCAGGAGTGGGATTGCTGGATCAAATGGTAGTTCTACTTTTAGTTCTTTAAGAAATGTCCACACTCTTCTCTGTAGCAGCTGTACTAGTTTACATTCCCACCAGCAGTGTAGAACTGTTCCCTGTTCACTGCATCCACACCAGCATCTACTGTTTTTGGATTTTTTGATTATGGCCATTCTTGCAGGAGTGAGGTGGTATCACATTGTGGTTTTGATTTGCATTTCCCTGATCATTAGTAATGTTGAGCATTTTTTCACATGTTTGTTGGCCACTTGTATATCTTCTTTTGAGAATTGTCTATTCATGTCCATAGCTCACTTTTCAATGGGATTGTTTTTCTCTTACTGGTTTGTTTGAGTTCGTTGTAGATTCTAGATATTAGTCCTTCATCAGATGTGTACATTGTGAAGATATTCTCCCACTCTGTGTGTTTTCTGTTTACTCTGCTGACTGTTCCTTTTGCTGTGCAAAAGCTCGTTAGTTTAATTTGGTCCCAGCTACTTATCTTTTTTTTTTATTGCATTTGCTTTTGGTTTCTTGGTCATGAAATCTTTGCCTAAGCTGATGTCTAGAAGGGTTTTTCCAATGTTATCTTTTAGAATTTTTACAGTTTCAGGTCTTAGGTTTAAGTCCTTAATCTATCTTGAGTTGATTTTTCTATAAGGTGAGTGATGCATATCCAGTTTCATTCTCCTACATGTGTCTAGCCAATTATCCCAGCACCATTTGTTGAAAAGGGTGTCCTTTCTCCACTTTATGTTTTTGTTTGCTTTGTCAAAGATCAGCTGGCTATAAGTATTTGAGTTTATTTCTGGCTTCTCTATTCTGTTCCATTGGTCTATGTGCCTATTTTTGCACTAGTACCATGCATTTTGGTGACTATGGCCTTATAGTTTAGTTTGAAATCAGGTAATACGATGTCTCCAGGTTTGTTTTTTGCTTAGCCTTGCTTTGGCTATATGGGCTCTTTTTTGGTTCCATATGAATTTTAGAGTTGTTTTTTCTAATTCTGTGAAGAATGATGGTGGTATTTTGATGGGGATTGCATTGGATTTGTGTATTGCTTTTGGCAGTATGCTCATTTTCACAACATTGATTCTACCCAATCATGAGCATGGGATGTGTTTCCATTTGTTCGTGTCGTCTATGATTTCTTTCAGCAGTGTTTTGTGGATTTTCTTGTAGAGGTCTTTCAACTCCTTGGTTACATATATTCCTAAGTATTTTGTTTTATTATATTTTTTGCAGCTATTTTAAAAAGGGTTGAGT